ATAAACTACCTTCTCCAGAGGTAATGTTCGCTAAGAAGTTCCAACGAAGAAAAACCGGAAAAAAAAAAAACAAAAACATGCCACAATCATCTTTGTCCATAGGTTAAAGAGCAACAAAAACACTTGTTTCTGACCATTTCTCTGCCTCCTGTTGCCTAGGCAACTATGAAGTGTGTCTGTGAATAAAGAGAATATATAAAGAAAGAAAACAGAGATTGTGATGGAGTTGTCAACCTGATGCAATCTAGAGTCACCTTGGGGATGGATGGGCCTCTGGGCATGCCTGTGGGTTGTCTTGATGGATGTGGGAAGGCCCATCTTAATTGTGGTCAGGACCTGGGCTATATAAGTGGAGAAAGGCAGCCAAGCACTGGAATGCCTGTGTTGGTTGATCTCTGTTCCTGGGTATGGATACAATGTGACCAGCTCCCTCAATTTCCTATCACTGTGAGTTTTCTAATATAAGGGACTGTTAACCCTTTCTCCTTTAAGTTACTTTTGACAAGGTATTTCATGACAGCAACAGGAAAAGACAGAGATAGATGTAAAATCCAATTTTGATTGTGTGCCTTCCTTCCTTCATGGGTCTACATCGTCAAAGCAGTTAATATGAGACCCCACACATGGTATGTTTTACAGACTAGAGGCTGAGATAGAGGTCAGATACTCAGGCCGTAAACAGAATCCATAATCAAGATTTCAACCAAAGGGGAGAAAGTTGTCCTTTTCAAAGTCTTTTCCTTTGAGCATTCCTGTCTCTAGATCTTCTGTCTAGGCTTGTGCATTATTCAAATATCTGGTTTGAAAAAAGCATTCCCAGGTCTGGAGAGATGACTCAGTGGTTAAGAGCTCTGGCTGCTCTTGCAGAGGGCCTAGGTTCAATTCCCAGCACCCACATGGCAGATAACAACCATCCTTAACCCAGTTCCAGGGAATCCAAGGCCCTCTCTGACCAGTGGCACTGCATGACACAGGTGTACTTACATTCATGTAGGCAATACACTCATACACATGAATTAAAATAATAAATAAAATATTTTAAAAAAGAACAGAGGAAGCGTTCTCTGCCCACCCTCAGCTGCACTTCTTTCTCCAGCTGTGTGTTTCATTATTTTCTCTTACTCTAAATTTCTGCTCCCTCATCTCCTTACCATCCCCACTGTCTGGCCCCCTCTTCTACCTGCTCCACAAAGAGCCTCTCATTTAGGCCTTCACTGGAGTTCTTACTGATGGAGCCAAGTGAGTCTGTTTCCCTCTGCATCTGCCTTGTTCCCCAGTCACACGCAGGGCCCAGGACCACTCTTCTCCTTAAAACAGTCACTTTTGTTCCAACACGTGCCTCAGGTTTTCCATGTTCCTCCCCTGGCTACTTAGTTTCCTTGGCTGATTCATGATCCCAAATACCATCAAGTGGTTAAATGAACATTTTCCCCCTCAATAGTATTTTCTAACAATCAGTACTTGCGTTTTGATATATCTACAGTTTGGGTAATATAGCAATATTTTTTCAATATTTGAATATTACTCTATATTTTTCCTTATTTTATTTAAATTAGTGAGAAATTTCAAAATGAAAGTGTTTTAACCCTAAAGACAAGTGTAAGGCTTATGATAGAACTGAGAAGTTAAAGTAAATAAATCGATAAGTGGAAAAATCATAACCCTTACCTCTGAAGAATGCTTACAGACTAAATAAGTTCAGTTATGGTAAAAATAGAGAAGGACTTGTGAAAAATGCCGAATGTATGTCACCAAAGATAGGACTTCAGAGTCACAGTGTAACTCTGGAAGTTAAAAAAATGCTTTTTTACTTATTTATTTTTATTTTATATGTATGGAGAGTTTGCTTGCATGTATGTAAGTACACCATGTGTGCAATGCCTGATGAAGTCAGAGGAGGACATCTGATTCCCTGGAACTGGAGTTATAGATTGTTGTTACCCACTGTGTGGGTGCTGGGTACCGATCCCAGGTCCTCTGCAAGAGCAGCCAGTGGTCTTCACTGTGGAAGCATCTCTCCATCCCTAATTCTGGAAAATTTACCGGGTCTGAAGTTTCTGAATACCTTCTCCTGTCTTTCTCCTATATGGCGTTCACTGAACCTCTTGCTCCTATATTAATGTAAGAAGACGTTTCTGAGGAGTCAATGAACAATTTGAGATAGTCTAAAGTGGCCTTATTCCAGCCCCACAATTTAAAATTTTGACTCGGTAATTGTGAAGTACATCGCAGGAATTTATCCCTTTAGCAAGCACCCCTTGCAGCACAGAGTACATCTTGCTAAATCCATATTAGAGAGAATATAAGGGCCAGTGTCAAACAGAGATGGCTCAAGACTCGAGGCTGACCAAAAGGAAAGAAAAGTTAAAACTGCTTGCGGGGAAAAGAACTTTACTTCAGAACTCAGATTTCAGCATTGTGTATAAATAGGAGGCATTCAAGTAAATATTTGAGAAGTGTGTGGATTTGGAGTGAATGGCTATCCCTGGTGGTGGTAAATTTTTCCAAGCCTCTGATTTTGATGGACAAGAACTAATTGAGTGATTGATACTCGCATGGGATGCAGCTGAAGAGGTTTTACAAGTCTTTAATGCAATCCACATTAAACGTTAGACACACTAATGGACATTTTTACATACCTGATCTCATTTAATAACTTCATATTGTTGGGTAAGAGCATTGGCCTGAAGTACTTACTGCCAGAAGTTGTTAACAGTCTAACTTCAATAATGGGACAAGCATTTTAACACAGATATGAACATTTTTACCTATTTAAAATTTATCAAATGGGAGCAGTTTGTGGACTGTAAAAAGGTAAGTCTCTATCACGACAGGCTTATTTTAGGGTGAATTGTGGTCAGGACTGTAATATCACTGGTCTCCAATGAGTATTAATGATGGCCCAGAAAACACTTAGTTTCTTGTTCATCTAAATGCTGTAAATGAATTGTACACACACCAAGGTACTTTCTAAATATGCAGTATTGACTTACCTATAAATGTGGAACTTTGCCTCTGTTCCCAACTCTTTCTACAGGCACTAAAATTCAAAATATTAGTGAAAAATAAGAAAATAGGAACCTTACTGGAAACACGTCAAAGGAAAGGTTCTGATAAACATGGCCAGGCGGCTGAATGGGATGAAGACGTAACAGAGCCCGACGATCAGGAAGAAGTCATGAGAGAACCTGAAACTCGAGATATCTTTTTGTTAAGAATCCAGAAAGAAAAGGAGGAGGAGTTTCCAAAGCTATCTCGATCGGGACCTTTCACGAGAAGGGAGGTGAGGCTAACTTTCATTGAAATATTACAAGGGATTGGAAATTTTCTAGTTTTCTTGTTCGTGGAGAATCAAAATCATTCTACAGACATGAAATAAGTTTCCTCTTTATAAAAACTCAAGCCTAATACCTAAATGTTACTTTGAAAGAAGTTGACAGTAGATAAGAAAATTTCAAACATTTCTTTTCTGGAGGTAGCTTTTCTAAAAATATTTTTGCTGTAGTTGACAGTTATACGTTTTTATGTAGTAGGTATTGTACAGAGTACAAAAGATACAGAGATAAATAACATAAATTCTCTGCTCTGTGGAATAGACTGAGATAACAGAATCAGTGTTTATGCTATACAGTGTTATATATGTGTATTTATAATTATGTTAAAAGAAGGTACATTATGTTATGTGTGACCATCTAACTGGTTTAAAGAAGGCAAGAACTAATTGGCCCATATGCATAGAAATTCTCAGAAAGGAATTTTACTTGGGGAATGGCTTATTATATTGTCTCAAAAGAGGTAGCGAGAACTTTCTTTCTCCAGCTTCTCTATCATTTTCTCTTTACTGGGGCAAGTTATTACAAAGATTCATCTTTGTATGCTTTCAGGATCAAAGAGAAATACTTCTTTGTAAATGTTTTATGATCTGGTTATGTGCATAACTCTGAACCAGTTGTTGATGCTGTGGGATGGTCAACTCTGATTAGGCAGACCTCCTTTTTCCTAATTCCTCTTTAAGCACATGGAAGGTTACATGTGTATAGGAATCTATGACTTTCTTCTAGCTTTTCTTTTTGTCTTTCGAATATAATTTTCAAAGTATTCTTTAGTAATCCTCTAGATTTCATTCAATTCTGTGATAACGCCCTCTTTTTATCTCCAATTTTATTTATTTCGGTATTCTTTCTCTTTTGGTTAGGTTGACTAGAGGTTTGTCAATCTTGTTTATTTTTATTTATTATTTTTTTTAAGGGAGAAAGTTTATCTCAGCTCAAAGTTCAAGGGTACATTCCACCATAACAGAGACATCAAGGAGGCAGGAGCTGCAAGCAGCTAGTCACATCACATCCAGGGTCAGGAACAGAGAGTGATGAAGGCTGGTGCTCAGCTCCCTTTCTCTGCTGTTTAAGGACTTGTCTGGGACTGGTGCCACCTTGGATCGGTGCATCTTCTAGGCTGTGAGACGGTTCAGTGGGTGTTTATTATTTTTTTCAAAGAACCAACTTTTTGTTTGACTGGTTCTGTGTAACTGTTCTTTTAGTTCCCAATTCATATTGTTTTGGTTTTAGGTCTCCTATAAACCTTTTAATTATTTTATTATTGTTAAACTTTTATTTACTCTTTGGCAATTTCATGCATGGATGGTGTCACTCCCTGCTCCCCTCTCCAACTGTCTCAGCCTCCCCTCTCCTTTTCCTCTTCAGCCCTTCCTCCTCCTCCTCCTCCTCCTCCTTGTCCTTCTCCTCCCCCTCCTCCTCCTCCTCCTCCTCCTCCTCCTCCTCCTCCTCTTCTTTCTTCTCCTAACAACCCACTGAGTCCAATTAGTGCTGCCTGTATGTTCATGGGTGCAGAGCAACTTATCATGCACAGGCTACACATGTACTCTGAAGAAAATGACTCCTTCCTCCAAGCAGCCGTCAATTGCCATTAGCTCCTCATGAACCCATTCCCATTCCATGGTGGAGTTTTGATTGGTTTGCTCTTGTGCAGGTCTTGTGCAATCAGCCATAGTTGCTGTGAGTTCATGAGTCCTGTTCATGAATCTGGTCATGTCCAGAAGACACTTTCTCAGTAGTTTTCCCCAACTCTAGCTCCTACAATCTTCTTGCCCTTCCCATTTTGCAATGTTCCCTGAACCTTGACAGTGTGTGTGTGTGTGTGTGTGTGTGTGTGTGAGAGAGAGAGAGAGAGAGAGAGAGAGATAAATTGCCTTGACCTTTATTTTTCTTGTCACCTACTACTTTTGAGCTAGAAATCATTGTACTAAGCAAGAGACTAAGAAAGAAAAATATTGCATGTACTTTCTCATATGGACATAAGATTTAAATATATATGTATATATATAAAATATGTATGTCACAAAAGTAGGAAGAGGACTCTGAGAGGAGAGAGAGATATCAAGGTATGAGAGGGGACTAAGGAGAATGAGGCACTAGACATATGTGACATATATGCTGATAAGGGGAGGGAAGGATCCAGCCAAAAGGGCCAAGGGGGCAGGCAGTGGGGGTGGTAGAGGAACAAGAAACCATAATGACATATATGTATTGCTTTGCATATTAACTTGGAAATGAATAAAAAATGAATTTTAAAAATATTTTATCATTTTTATTTTATGTGTTTGTATGTTTTGCCTGTGTGTATGTAAGTGCACCCGTGTTGTGCAATGTCCATAGAAGCCAGAAGAGGGCATTAGGTCTCCTGGAACTAGAGTTATGGACAGTTGTTAGCTGCTGTGTGGGTGCTGGGAATCGAACCCGGGTCCTCTGGAAGAACAGCAAATGTTCTCAACTGCTGAGCCATCTCTCCAGCTCCTAAAAATGAATTTTTTGGATGAGAAAATGCGAGGGATGTTTTCCTTAAACAAAACCCATGAAGTGGCTTAAAGAAACGTGGAAGAGATCAACACTGGACTGTGAAAGGGCAAGTGTCTACTATACAATAGAAATGTTAGATTCTGAAATGTTAGATGAAACTGGAAATATGCTTGCAATTAAAATTCTTAAATTTGTAAAGTTTGTGAGAATTAGCTGAGATCTTTGGGGAACAAGAAAATAGTAAAGTTTGTGATTCTCAATACATAAAACATTAACTAGATTTTGCATCCAGGTTAGATCATATCATTATCAAATATTGAGGTCATAAATATGATCACATTGACTTAATCCAAATAGCTTTGGAGGAGCTAAGTTTATAAAAAGGCTGAAGTGATCTGTTTAAAAGCATATTTTCTTTATGAGACAGGAATTTTTTTCAATAATTATTGTAAAAATGTGAGATGACTGCATTTTATTTTTAGATCAGGAAGAAAAAAATAGCTCTGGCCTTATCTGATCTTGTCATTTATACTAAAGCTGAGAGATTCAGAAGCTTCCAGTATTCAAGACTCTATCAGGAATTTAACGAGACTAATTCTATCGGGGAATCTCGAGCCCGGAAACTTTCCAAATTGAGAGGTAAAGTCTTATGACTCAAATGTGTGAATATGTAAATCAGTTCATTTGCTTCTAAGGTACTAACCTAACTTCTAAGGTCAGTGGTGTTTTCACGTGTATAGTCTCATGACGTTTCAGTGCATTGAATATAATTTAGAAAGGGACTCTATGTTCCAAGTTATGTTTCAGGCCACAGAACTTTACCATTAATTGCCTTCTTTAAGTCATTGCTTTTTAATGGAGAATGCTAGGTATGGACATTTGTGTGGGCAGTGCTGTGATGGGTAGTTTATACTACAGAGTGATGAGTGACAGAGCTGCAGAGGCAGGCCAGCTAATTACAAGGTACTTGGAGTTTCTTGGGAGCAAAGGTAAGCAGAAGATTGCAATCTCAAAGTGGGGTGAGCCATCACTGTGTGTTCTGGAAATAAGCCCTGGACAACAACCAGAGGGTGCAGGGATGCGATAATGAAGGTTTATGGCAGTGAAAGTAGAGACAGGGGTGACTGTGGATTCAACAGTCATCTTCGAGATAGAGATAATCAGAGAGACTGGGGACTCTATGTCTCTGTCCCTGATTGATGAACTACGAGCTGGCTGTAGAGTGTGTCTGCCACTGCAGCCCTCAGAGGCACCATTTTTATTTGCATGATTTTTATTGAATTTTGGTGTATTTCATACAAAACATCTTAATCATCTTTATACCTCCTCCCCACCCGCACGCTCCCATAGCCCCCCCCCACCAGATTTCATGCATTCTGATATTTATGTTAAGGCCAATTGAGTCAAGTTAGTGACCCAGATGTCCCTCAATGCAAATTCATCCACTGGGGTCTAGTCAGCCTATCTAGAGTCATTCCCTTAAAGAAGATCAGCTCTCCGTCACCCAGCAGTACGCAGCTGACAGTATTTCTTCAGCTAAGTTTGGGACCTGTTGCTCATTACCCCAGTAGTATGCTGGGTTTTGTTTCCTTGAGTTTGCATGTGTCTTGTGTGTGCTGACACCATTGCTGTAAGTTCATATGAGCAAGGTCCCAGGAGCCTGTAAGACTCTATTTTCATATGGTCATGCACTTCCTCCCTTGGCTCTAATGATCTTTCCAGCCTCCTCTTTCACAATGGTCCCTGAGCCTTGGGTGGGTGAAGTTTAATATAGGAGTCCTATCCAGGAACCGACACTCTGCAGACTCTTATTCTCTATGCTTTGGCCATTAGTGGAATTTTGTGTTCGTTGTCCTCTATTACATGAGGGAGCTTCATTGATGAGAGTTGAGAGATGTGTTAGTATTCTCTCTATCCCATGCTCTACTATATTCTATGAGCCTTAGGTGTAGAAGTTCCATTTTAGATGTGTCACTTAGGGCTGGGCATCTCACAGACACATATTCTCTGTGTGTGATTAGAGAACTCTGTAATAATCTCCTCTGTTGCAAAAGATGCTTCTTTAATGAGTGGTGACTAGCATACTTGTCTACAAATTTAGGGATCCATATTTTGCACATAGTAAGAAATTGCGTTTGTCTAGGGATGTGACAGCCTTAGGATTTTGTCTAAGATCTATGACCTCTCTAGCCATGTGTATTTAACTATGTTTACAGTACTACACATGAGTTCCCTCCCATTGATTGGGCTTTAAGTCCAATTAGGTAGCTGTTGATTACCCCCAAGAGAAAAGTGCCATCACTGCCCCAGATTAGTTTGCTGTGTCAGTCTTTGTTGTGGTTATTAGGCTTTAAAGCTGGGTTTGAACACTGATTCATGTTCTCCCCTAGCAGCTTGCATACTGTCCTCCAAAACTATGAGAGCTGCCTTCAGGGAGGAGGCTTCCAGGTCAGCTCCAGCTCCCCTTCTCTCTGTCTTGTGTCTGAAGTATGTTCTGTCTTCAGAAATAGGGTCCTTCCTTCAAGTTCTGGGAGGCAACCAAGTGCTGTGACAATAGCCTGTATACTTTTGCAGTCTCTTGAATTACCCTGGCCAACAACTTGAAGGGAGATTTCTCCTGTCTGACACTGTTTTTTTTTTTTTTTTATATAGTCTTCCGCTATACACATGGACTTATCTGAGATATTATATGTGTAACTTTTCAGTAGACTTTGAATTAATTCACTTCCCTCTGTTTTTTCACACCAACTAAGCATTATTTATCTCTCTTCCCTCTTTCCCTAACTAACCCTCCCTCCTCCCTCTGCAGTTAAAGTACCCCCATTTCACTCTTGATAATACCTATCTCCTATGGCTCCTCCCTCTCTTGAGCTCCTTCTCCTTTACCCTCATGGTTCCTCCCTCTCCCTCTCCCAGTTAAATACCCACATTTTGTGCATTTTCCCCTTCATTAACACCCTCTGATCAGAATGGTTGAAATGTCTCCTGTTTGGTACCACTCATGAGATAAAATGAAGCCTGGGGAAGAGAATGGGAAACAGACCCTATGTGCTGTCCATATAGTACAAAACACCCCATCTGTGAAAAGGATGAATGACTAACTTCATAGTCAGGTGGTGCTTGTAATTCTAAAACACTCTGCAGTCTTCCATCTTATGCAGAAACACTAGAGAAGGAAAATCAACACCTGAGACTGACTTGAGGAAAGATGTTTGGAAACACAGACTAATAGGCTTATTATCACTGTGGGCCTGCTGGGGCCCAAGGACTTTGAATATTTTGCTTCATATTCTTAAACTACCTAGTAAAAAAGGCTCTGGATTCTTTAGAGACCTTTTAAAAACAATGACAACAACAACAAAACCCAAAATCAATTGTGGATTGCAACCAAAAATTAGTTCAGACTACAGATAAATAGACTACAGATAAATACCGGAATAGGGTAGAATAATAGCCAATAGAAAGCAACAGAATGGAATAGGCTAGAACAGGAGTAGGTGCATTGTGGGAGATGAGAAGAAATGCTTTATGACAACTAGATGTGTGCATGATTTTGTGTTTTTCTTTCACTGTGCATATGAGAAAGAAAGAGGGAGAGATAGGTAAGCTGGGGGGGGGGCTGGGGAGACAGACAGAGGTATGCACAAGTGTATGTGGATGCATGCACCCGTGAACATGACAGAGACAGGCAGAGGTATGCACGAGTGTATGTGGATGCATGCACCCGTGAACATGCAGAGACAGACAGAGGTATGCACGAGTGTATGTGGATGCATGCACCCGTGAACGTGCAGAGAAAGAGGAGGATGCTGGGGTCCTGCTCTACCACTCTCTGCCTTATTCTCTTAAGACAAAGTCTTTTACTGAACCTGGAGTTAGGCTGGCGGCCAGCAAACCCCAATAATCCTCCTGTTTCTGTCACCTACAGCTCTGGGATTACAGGTACTTCCACACGGGACTTTTTTCATGGGTGCTCGGGGATTTGAACTCAAGTCTTCATGCTTATGCAGCAAGTGTTCTTACCTGGTGAACCATTTCCCCAGCCCAGGTTGTGAGAATTTCTCACTGCACAGCATAGGAGAATTTGAATGTTTTACTAGCCGGTCTCTTCCTTCGAACTGTGGGGAACTTTTTCGGTTTCTGAGGACAGGATCTCTGGGAATAGCAAAAGTTGTCACCTTTCTGTCACCTTCATTATATTAAAGACATGCAAACAAATTTAGCAAGGGGTTGGGAGAGCAGAGCAGGGATGGTGCTGGCATCTTTTGAAGTGTGCAGAACATTTTTCTTGTACCAAAAGGCAAAAATAGTGAATAATTCATGATATTGGCAAATGTTTAACTGCACAGGTACCTAGCATTATCATATACATAACAAACATCACGAAAATAATGTGACCAGTAAATGTTACTGAAAAAGAATGATTCTCACATTATTCTAGTAAGCAAAGCAAATGGCAGTTGGTAAAAGAGAAAAAAACAACATAAATCAATCAAAAAATAGCATATAGATAGAAAAGAATGGAAGACACATACCATCTGGTTATCTGTGGATCTTGAGTGAGGAGATCATATGTAGTTTTACTTCCTCAATTTTATTTGATTTCCTTATACTTCTAAAAGAAACATGAGGTGCATTTGTAAAAAATAATGTTTAATTTCCAGAGGTAAATCTCAGAGGTTACAGTCATATTCTCATTGTTGTGACCGAATGCCTGACGAGGAACAACTTTAGGAAGGAAGACACAGTGGCTCCCAGTTTGACGAGACATAACCCCTCATGGCCAGGAAGGCACCATGCCTGTCGCTCCATGGAGGTGGGGAGCATGTGACAGCCATGCTCACATCTCTGTGGATCAGGAAGCAAGAGAGGAGGATGCATGTGCTCAGCTGGCTTTCCCCTTTTCTCTCCTTGTTGCTGCTCTGTGACTCGAGCCCATGGAATGGTGCCGTCCATACTGAGGGCATCTTCTTGTGTCAGTTAGTTGCCTCTAGAAACACCCTCACCGACACTACAATAGGTGTATCTCACAAATGCCCAGTCAGGTCGACAATCACAATTAACCACCACAGAGACTTTAGCCATTCTTTATGCATTATCTGTGGATGGTAAACCCTAGATCCCAGACTGTGTGTGTTGTGCTATGGAAAGACGTGCTTTAAAAGTAGAGACAGGAGCATGGTTGCAACATAACTTCCTCTCAAGTAGATGCAGTTTTTAAAAACTGATGCCATCACTGGCAATTTTTGATGAATAACCCTTTTTAAAGTATACAATTTAAGATGAGGGAGGAAAGGACTCTCTTCTAGCAAAGACAATAGACTATACCAAATAACCACCTCTCTCATGGTCACCAAACTATCAGGAATGGTTGTGGCAAATGATCTGTTCAGTGAAAGAAGAAAAATCTTGGAGAAACATGAAATCTGTGTTTGAAAATCTAAAGGAAGGGCTGAAGAGATGGCTCAGCAGTTAAGAGTCCTTGATGCTCTTGCAAAGGACCCAGGTTCAGTTCCCAGTACCCACATAGAGGCTCATAATCACCTATAACTCTAGTTCCAGGGGATCCAATACCCTTTTCTGATCTCTGCAGGCACTGCACACACCCGGTATACATATATACATGCAGGCAAAACATGTATATATAAATATATATATATATATATATATATATATACATAAAAATAAATCTTAAAATGTCTAAAGAAATATCAAATGGTAAAAGATGTAAATTAGTTTCTAACCTCATCACATAAGCAGAAATACACATAACACATATGAATTACATAGATACAAGCATAGGTATATATGTTATAAGCATATAGGTCTCTCAATAAGAAAGCTATTCGGAGGTAAAAGTTTTGGGAAGTAGTGAGATTTTCAGTGGATAGTTGTAATCAGAGATTGAATTAATTTGGAGGGAAGAAGCTGGACTGGAGGGGATAGTTATTAGATAACCTGAGGGCCCCCCTGTCATCTATCAATGAAATGCTCACTAAATTAATTTAATCTGAAATACTGTTTCACATTTCTTATATTTGGGTCCACCTTAATGTGAAAACAAAAGTTTTTTTAAAAACCTGAAGATGGGGCTGGAGAGATGGCTCAGCGGGTAGGAACACTGGCTGTTCTTGCAGAAGACCCGGGTTGGAATCCCAGCACCCACATGGCAGCTAACAACTGTCTGTAACTCCAGTTCCAGGGGATCCGATAGCCTCTTCTGTTCTCTGTGGGCACTGCATGACACGGGTGCACTTACCTACATGCAGGCAATGCATGCATATACATAAAATAAAAATAATAAATAACATATTAAAAAAAACCTGAAGTTGGTAAATATACTACTTTTTTTTTTAATAAAAAGGGAATATTTTATTTTGGAATTGTATATATGCTCATATTAATGTGAAATTAATTTGGGTGTGTGAGAGTTAAATAATTCCTGAAATGAAATTTCAGTACATATACATTATATAATTAAATTATTGTAATTATGAATTATTCTGTAAACATACATACATGTATTCATTTTTGTTTTATCATTGATGAATATGTTTGCTAAGGACATACAGTATAGAATTATCTTGTATATATAAGCAATATATAGAAGTGCTTATTTCACTGATTGAAATTTTTTCACAATGTTTTATTATTATTATTTTTTTTAGCCCATGAGTTTATTTTTCACACCAGGACTTTCATTACCAGAGTATATCCCAGATCAACAAGAGCAGACTCTTCTAATTTTAACCCTCAAGAGTTTTGGAATGTAGGTTGTCAAATGGGTATGTTATAAGGGATAATGAGCTATTGGCAAAAGTAAGTTGAAATGAATTAATTGTGTGAATTAATGGAACATTTCTGAGAAGTTTTGGCTTTACGGGATTTGCGATCAGGCAAATGGTGAGTTGTTGGGCTCAAGAGTTGAAGTTTTTGCTAAATGGCCAGAGAGGGTGAAGTAGGTGAGGGTTGGAAATCGAGGCTAAATTTATGAAGAGTTGATACTGGGACCTGTGTGTCCTAGAGGAAGAGAACAGGGAAGCCACGATGGACAGGAGTTTGAAGACCAAGTTCCTTTGTTTGAGTTAGGCACAAGACCTCTTCAAGCCAAATGGCCTCCATCATGTCAACTTTGCATGAGTTTTGACATTCACAGTGCGGAAAGGTGGACAAGCTCACAGGGCTGGTGGTTCCTCCACACTGGACTCTCCTTGCTCCTAACTGAACAGCTGTTAGAGTCCATCTGTTCAGTGGGCTCTGGAGAGGCCTGCGAGCCTGAGGAGAGGGAGGTGGGCCAGGTGGGATGTGGAGGGCTTGAGGGAGGACCACATGCAGGGGCTACTTACCAGCCTCTATCAAGAAATTTCCATATTTCAGTGACTGGCTATCTACCTGTTTCTCACCTTCTCAAGTGACAAATTCACCTTCAGGACCTAAAAGTTTGTCATATAGTTTATGTCTTTTCTTCCTGAAATGGATGCTAGATAGGTAGGTAAGTAGGTAGGTAGGTAGCTAGGTAGGTAGATAGATAATTTGGGAACATTGGGGATTAAATCTAAGGCCCATGTATGCTATACAGACACTCTACCACTGAGTTATAGCTCCAGGCCTATTTTATTTATTTTTATATTTATTGAATGTTACCTGATACATACATTGTTTTTCTGTAATCTATACAGTATGCCACTTTGATTTCCTTAGTCAAAACTAGGGCATGCCAGTAATCTCAACAGTTGGAGGGGAAGGCATGAGGATCTGAAGTTCAAGGTCATCCTCAGCTACATAGGGAGTTTGAGGCCTGGGCTACATGATAACCTGTCTCAAAAAACAACCAACCAACCAACCAACCACCAACCAACCAACTAACCAACCAACTAACCAACCAATCAACCGACCAACCAACCAATCACCAACATCTACGTAATAAGTGTTACAACTCACAAATACACATTAGTGTAGGCAAGATAGGGAGAAAGATTAAAAACCATGAATAATTAAGTAAATAGTACTTGATCATAGAACTCGTGAAAGCGTGGAAAATATGACTTGGTTTTGCTCTGTTATTGAACTGTCACTTTAACTATGCACCCTATTTCCTGACAATGTCAACGTACTTCTTTCTCACAGTGGCCTTAAATTTCCAGACCCCTGGACTGCCTATGGACTTGCAAAATGGGAAATTTTTGGATAATGGAGGCTCTGGATATATTTTGAAGCCATATTTCTTAAGAGATACAACACTAAGCTTTAACCCAAGTGGAGAGGTTGGAGAAGGCCATCCAATTACACTTACAATACGGGTAAGATTAGTGGCTCTTTCTTTTCTTTGCTGATTCTGATTGTTATGTAAACTAGATGGTGTACATTGATATTTCAATTCCAATGATCAGCTTTAATGCCTTTTAAATTTCTGTTCATCTTTTCAGGTACAATAAATAGGTGCCATCTTAACACTTTTTTTTTTTCTGGGTCTGAAAAATGTCTTTCTGTGCATTTTCACATGAATGATTTCCTGTCAGTGAATAGAAACATTGAGTCAAAAACCTTTCCCTCTGAGAGATCTATTTATATGACTCCATTGTGTTTTACCATTTAGCTCTGTGACGAAGAGGTCTGAGTTCAGTCACTGATGACTTTGCAGACATACCACTCTTTGTCCCTTCACTGTAAAGAATTTCATCAGAAAATTCTAGGAGCTATTTTCTTTTCATTAATTTTTTATGCTTTTGTAGTGCAGGGTTTTTCTCCTTATATCTCTGAACTTTGGTTGCTTAAGAAGGAAAGCTTTGCATATGTTCCTCTCTATCGTCCGTGTCTATTAATGCTTTACAAGTTTAGAATGTTCTATTTTTTTCTCTGTGTTTGGGAGAACTTTTAACATTTGTTCTTTACACTCATGATTCAAAAGTCTGTATTTAATTTTTTAAAGATTTATTTTGTTTTTAATGATGTGTATGTGTGTGTGTGGGGGTATGTGCACATGTGAATGCAGGTACCTGCAGAGTCCAGAAGAGGGCATCAGGTCCTCTGGAGGTGGAGTAACAGGCAGTTGTGAGCTGCCTGATGTGGGTTCTGGGAACTGGAATTGGGTCCTCTGCAAGAACGGCACCTGCTCTTAACTGCTGAGCATCTGATCTCGCCAGTCACACCCTTTCCCTGGATCCAGTTTTATTCTTCATTTAAATATAGATTTTTGCACTTTTAGTCTCCCCAATTGTTAATTACCTCATATGCTTCCTCTTTATTTCCATCTGAATCCTACCCAGAGTCTGAGGACCCCCCAACCCTTCTGCCTCATTATTTCATCTTTTGTTTTATTGCATCCTGTACAAGCTCATTAGTGCAAAAGCAACTATCTTCATTAGCACAGACTTTCTGAAACCTCTCTCTATAGCCTAACTACAATGTTTATTTGCTTTTAAAGATGCCACTGGACCTTTTGAAAAGGTCTGGTTGCATTTTCTCTCCACTCCACTTAATTATAAGCCATTCTGTTTTAGGCTGCAACTGCACCTGTGTAGATTGCAGTCAGAGGGCTTGTTTGCCAATAGTTGGGTCCGTGTGGCCTCTTTGGCGCCTCTGCCTCTTTCTCTGTAACTGGCTGTTCCTCTAACCATAGGAGTCAACTCAGATGCTCTTCTGGATTTTGGGCCAATGCTGATCTTGCTGTTTCCAGTCACATGTCTGTTCTCCTCCTCAGAGGAGTTCTGGGGCTCCGATGGCTGTTGAGTGACCTCCTGCTCCTCACTCCTGGCTACAGGGCCTGAATCCCGAGTCCTTAGAGTGTATTTCCCCTATAACTTCTACCTCAGCTCTGCCCTCTGCTGTTATAACACCACAGGGTCTGGGAGTCCACCCACATCTGCTTCAGGCCCTAGCCATTTGATCCCAGAGAGGGATGGGAGATTTTATGAGCTACTTTCCACAGAGCGTAGAGCAAAGACGGATGGGATAGAAATGCTCTAGGCCCTAGCAGGAAACAGTTTTGGTGAAGTACACAGCTGACTTTTCTTCTGGCTGTTAAGGATTTTGTGACACTAAAATTCAGTAAAAGTGGATAGTTAGAAATCACCTACAACAGCAAACACAGCCAAATAATAATTAGTTGTCACTTTTTCTGGAATCTGGAGAAATATTATTGACCACTGAGGTTTGTTTGTAAGAGGATTACCTTGTTAACCTCCTTTCTGCATCTTTTAAAATAGCTGCTTCAGTGGGCAGGGGGTTAAATTAGCCACTCATAAGATCCCTTAGTCACTGGCTCCCTCCTGTCTTTTCCTACCTGCCATGGGAATCTGTCTCACATTCATTGATGGATTCCTCTTTCTGTACCTACTCTTAAAATATTTACATTATCTAAAGCTTTTACCTAACCCCCATTCCAAACTAAATATTCCTTTGGGTTCTCTTCTGCAAACGTTCCTGGCTTAACCATCAGCAAGGCTCAAGTCTTTAACCTGACCTAATTTTTCAGAATCTAAAGTGTGCTTTAAATAGTCTCCTTAGCAACGTACCTATTTAGTCACCATCCTGTCAAACTGAAAAATTTAAAACCTGAACATCCCTTCCTAGTCAATCTGTCTTTAAATATTTTATTGATAGGCCAGTGAATGCCACCATTCAGCTGAGACTACGAAACAGGATGCTGGTCTGATCTCACACATCGTCCTTGCTTCCTTTATCATCCATCTTTAAATTCTGCCTATTTTACTCCTGGTCTTCTTTATCTATTCCTGACCTCTTTTGCCAATGCCTTGTTTCAGTGTTTCATTATCGTTAGGCCTTCCCCTTTTGATTTCTCAAATAATTTTCTGCCTCACTGTGTGATGGTTAGTTATAATTGTCAACTATAAGACACAATCTAGACTCACCTGGGAGAGAGTCCCAATGAGGAATTGTTTGGCTTGGGCTGACCTGTGTGCATGTGGAATTTTAATTTGATTTATTATTTATTTTTATTTTATGTGTATTAATGTTTTGCCTGCGTGTATGTAAGTGCACCCATGTCATGCAAAGCCCACAGAGGCCAGAAGAGGGTGTCTGGCCCCTTGAACTGGAGTTATGGATGTTTTTTTATCCCCTGTGTGGGTGCTGGGCATTGAACCTAGGTTCTCTGTAAGAGCAGCCAGTGCTCTTAATTGCTGAGTCATCTCTCCAGCCCCCTGGGTGGAATTTTAATTGGATTAATTGAGGTGGGAAGATCCAGCCTGAAAGTGGGTGATGTCATTCCCTGGGTTTGGGTCCTAGACTGTATAAAATGGAGTCAGCATGCCCAGCCGTAAGCTTGCCTTGATTCTCTCTTTGCTTCAGTGGCTCCTGTGGCTCTAATGAGTTGCTTCAAGTCCCCACCTTGACTTTTCCACAACGACAGACTGTAACCTGGAATCATGAGACGAATAAGTCCTCTCTCCTCCTATTAGTCACTTTAAGACAGCATGACCAAGGCAACTTATAGAAGGAAGAGTTTATTTGGCTTATGATTCCAGAGGAATTAGAGTCCATCATGGAGGGGAGGCAGAGTGGCAGATGTGGCTGGAGCAGAAAGCCTAGCAATGACATCTTCAAGCAGAGCATGACTTATGAACCTTCAAAGCCCCACCTCCCCACATGCTTTCTCTAGCATGGCCACAGCTCCTAAAGGTTCCATGACCCTCCCCAAACAGAACCACAAACTGGGGACCAAGTGTCCACGTACTTGGAGCCTATGAGGGTATTCTCATTCAAACCATTACAATCCTTTAAAGTTGCCTTTGTTGGGATATTTTATCCCAGTAATAGAAACTAAACTAAAACAGCCCGTCTCGGTCCTCTTAATCCTTCTTCAAGTTGAACAGAGAGGTTTTGCTACAATGCTAACCTTATGAACACTTACTTATTTCTGCCTCTTGATTACTTGCCTAGTCAAGGCTTGGCTTACATCTCTGTGCCTGTTTTACACCACTGCTCGCCTTAACCTTATCTTGCAACCATGTCCAGGATTTACCTCCTTAATTGCACAGTCTTTCTTCTAACTTTCTTCCATTGGTCCTGTTGAGTTCTAACTTTTTAAAAAATTAGTCTCAGTCTGTGCCTTGTCTGGCCGAGAACTTGCTATGTTGATCATGCAGGCCTGGAACCACAGAGACCTGCCTGCTTCTGCCTCCAAAGTGCTGGGATGACAGATGTGTGCTACCAGAGCCAACCTGATTATTTTTTTTTAAAGACTTTAAACATCGCTCCATTTTGGACACTTTTTTCTTGGCTGTGCTCCTTTTTATGGTTTCCATGTATTTTTCCATCACAGCCTGTGCATGTATATATTACAGCACTAGGCACACTGCATTGCTATAACTTATGCACGCCTTTAATCCCAGCACTTGGGAGGCGGATCTCTGTGAGTTCAAGGTCAGCTTGGTCTACATAGTGAGTTCCAGGAAAGCTGGGGCTACAGGGAGACCCTGTCTCAAAAAGACCAAAAAAAACCAAAACAAAACAAAAACCAAAAACCAAAACCAAAACAAAAAACTTGCTTACCTGTTACTAGACCTTATTCCCCAGTAATCTGATGATTCTTTAAGGATAAGAACCGTGTTCTATATAAGCCGTATTGACAGAGTCTGGTGTAAAATACATGCTCCAGACATGCAGACTGATTGAATGTTTCATGCTCATGTGGAGCAGAGGGCAGAGAGTACATCTCTTATTGGAATGAAGGTGAGAGGTAGTTTGTGCACAGATTCTTATAAATGTTCTGTGCTTGTACAATGAGAAGCCTCATGCTGATGTGCTTATGGATGACCTCTCAGTGCCCACATCCCTGAAGAAAACAGATTCTCCCTTCCCCAGCAGCCATCAATTACCAATAGTTCCCCAAACAAGGGTGCGGATTAATGAGCTCCTCCTCTGTCCATGCTGGGTTTGGCTGACTTGATCTTATGCAGTCAGTCGTAGGCTGTGAGTTCATGTGTGCGTCAGCACTGTCATGTCTGGCAAATGCTGTTTCACTACAGACATCCACTCCTTCTGCCTCTTATAATCTTTCCACCCTCTCTTCCTCAGTGATCTCTGAGCCTTCTGGGGACAGGGTATGATATAGGTGTCCCATTTAGCCAAATACTCATGTCGATCAGTTGTGGATCTCTGTATTAATCACCATCTACTGCAGAAAGAAGCTTCTGTGGTAAGGTTGAGAGCTGACTAATCTATGGGTATAAAGATAAGAACTTAGGGGCCAGTTTATTACTATTGTCCAATTAGTAGAGTAATAATACTAGGTTCTCTCCTAGGGCCTATGACCTGGTCAGCCACAGGGATACCCCCTTCCTTTCTTTTATTCTAAGGCGGTGTCTCTTCTTAATGGTGGGGTGAGTTTATTGGAGGCAACAAAAATCTAGTCTTCTGGCCTGGGTCTTTTTATTGAGGAGTTGAGCCCATTAATAATAAGAGTTATTACTGAAAGATGTGTATTAATTCCTGCCCTTTTACTGATTTTGTATTTTTTTAGACCTCTTTTGATGAACTGTCCTTGCACTGTTTATTTATTCTTTATGACCTTTTGGGTGCGTTTATCCTCGGCAGCTGAAAAGTTCCTTCCAGTAAGCTCTGTAGAGCTGGCTTAGTCATCATGAATTCCTTTAATCTGTTTATTTTATCATGGAAAAATTATATTTTTCCTTCAATTTTAAAGGATAGACTTCCTGGGTATATTAGTCTGGGTTGACAGTTGTGGTCTTTCAGAACTTAGAATACATCTTTCCAGGTCCTTCTGGTTTTAAAAGTGTCTGTTGAAAAATCATATGTTATTCTGATGGGCCTGCTTTTGTAAGTGACTTGACTTTTCTCTCTTTTGCAGCTTTCAATATTCTGTGATTTTATGTTTTAACTATAAGATATCATGGGAGTTTCTTTTCTGTTCCTATCTAGTGTTCTGTAGGCCTCTTGCACCTGGATGAGCATCTCTTTTTCTAAGTTTTGGAAATATTCTTCTATGACTTTATTGAAAATATTCTCTGGGCCTTTACCACTCTCCTTTTGTGCCCATGATCTGAAGGTCTTTCCATTTTGCCCCAAAGCTCTCCTACATTTCATTCATTAAAAATGTTTCTCTGTCTAGAGAGTTGGCTCAGCAGTTAAGAGCACTGACTGCTCTTGTAGAGGACCGAGTTTCATTCTTAGTACCCACATGGCAGCTAACAACCATCTGTAACTCCAGTTCTAGGGGAATCCAGTGCCCTCTTCTGACCTCCCCGGGCATTGCACAACATGGGTGCACTTACACACATGCAGGCAATACACTCTTACACACAAAATAAAAATAATAAGTAAAATACAATTTCTCATTGACCTTTACTGAGTGATTGAATTCCTCTACCTTGCCTTATAGACCTGGCTTTTCCACATGGTCCATTCTGCGGGGGATGCTTTCCACTGAGTTTTAATTTGGCTTATTGGGTTTTGCATTTCTAGCATCATTTCAGTTTGGCTTTTATTCAGCAATTCTCTCTTTACTGAATTCAGTTTTCAGCTCATGAATTGACTTCCTTATCCCATTCAGCTCTTTGTTTTTGTCTTCACTGAGTTGTTTGAATAGTTATTCCATTCTTTCGAACTTGTTTGGAAGGTATTGCAGGTCACTTTCATTGGGATTCAGTATTATGAGATTAGTAACTTCTGGGGGGACATGCTGTCTTAGTTTTTCATGTTACTTTTATTTCCATGCTGAGACTTGTGCATCTGTAATAGTTTGTTAGCTGTGTCTTTCTTTTTGCTTAAAGCTGTTTTCTTCTTTCATTGCAGGCATGTGCAATGTTCAGGAGAGGATTAAGTTATAAGAGTTGGGTCAAGACCTTGTTTCTTTAATGGAATGTGTATTGAGGGCTACGGGCCGTATCTTTAGTCTTTTAAGAGTCCACTTCTGTCTGTACAAACAGAGACTCTCCAAGGGATAGCACACCCTTCACTGACCCTCTCCTCTGCTGCCTCCTGGTGTGGCATTCCAGTTCTTGTAGCTCTGCCTTCAGAAAGCTCTGGTCAACTGCAGGCTGTGCATGGGAGATCCTGGGAAGCCAGGTGTAGTCAGGAGGACTGTGGAAGGTATGTGGCACCTGGTGGCCCTCAGGTGGTCTGGACTAGGGTCAGTGGGGTGAGTAGAGCTATCTGAGCGAGGTTTGCAGGTGCTGGGGCCTTAGGCTTGTAATTGTTATTTCTTACCCTAAACCAACATATTTCAAATATTTTGTGTTCACTTATTTGTTTTTAAGTAAAACCAAAGTTTGTTTCAATAATGAGCTTGGTGAGCTAGAGCGATGTCTCAGTGGTTAAGAGCACTGGCTACTCTTTCAGAGGACTTGGGTTTAGTTCCCAGCACCCACATGGCAGTTAACAACTGTCTGTAACTCCAGTTCCAGGGGATTTGACGACCTCTTCTGACCTCTGTCGGCATTTCATGACATCAGTGCACTTACATGCAAAGAAAGCACTCATACACATAAAATAAAATGAATGAAATATTAAAAAATAATTAGCTTGGATAATAAAATCCTAAATTTAAAAAGTAACTAATGACTTTGTTAAGTGCGCTTTTGATGCCTCCATCCCTAACATACATGTGAAATAATTAATTTTGTCAAGCTCTCATTACTTATTATAATCATATGTATAACAATGGATATTGCCAAATTTCATAAATGATTCAAATGTAAATTCTTCCAAAAATGCTATCATGAAAAATTATATGGTATAACTTTTTCATTTTTGAGAATAATTATCCTATTACTTTGAAATATTTCAGTATATATAATGTGAATTTAAACACATTGTCAGAACAAAACAATATCTAATTATAGTAAAAAGTGACTAAACTGTTTTTAAAATGAAAATACATACTAATGAATCATAAACCCTGGACAAAGCAGATTTCACTATAATCACATTTCAGTAAACCAATATTTCAGACGTGCTCTTGGTCCTTATCCAATGGTACTTGAGGGTAAAGGCCTGTGGAAGGCAGGTGGCTCCCTTTAAAATTTCCTGACTACCAGCTTCAGTTTTTTAAGAACCAACTTAGAGTCTGTCAACTTTTTGCTATATGTCACCTGATTTTTAAAGTCAAAAGTGGTGATGCTGTTCGATGTTCGGCTAAGCTCTCCCATTGACATGTGTTTCTTTAGCTCATCAGTGGAATCCAGTTGCCTGTGAGCTTATTCTCCAACAAAGCCAACACACTAGTGATCATAGAAGTTTATGGCGTTCCAAATGACCACATAAAACAGCAGACTCATGTTATTAAGAAAAACGGTGAGCTCCTATGACACCTTACTGAACTTCCATTAGGCTTCTTGTTGGAAAAATCTTATGCTGATAGTTTTTATGCATATTAATTATTCCTAAGGCAAGGGGTTGACATGATGTTCAAGGCTGCCAAGTGTTATCTTCAGCAAACACAATTTGATAATGACAAGGTTATTTCAGCTTTTTTCAAACGATGGATACAAACATTTACCT